AGCCTTTCCATTCAAATGAACACACAATATATGCAAACAGGAAGAGTTTAATACTGTAAGAATTAATCCAAAATAAATATGAAACTAGAAGAAATGCCTAATACAACACCTGATTAATTGCCAGAGAGGTGGACTGATGAGGGCTTTGGGTTCAGAAAAAGGTGAGGGCACCATACTGTTTGTGACATAATCTCTTCATAAATATGAGAATGTCTTATGCACATATCCAAACAAAACACAACCTAGAAGATCACCAGCTCCTTCAATCAGAAGGCTAGAGACTTTATCCAGCCCTGCACTCTACAGATGGGATCCTGAGGTTCCGTGGGAAGGAAACGTGAGTTGAACCTTAGAGAAGACAGTATACCAAGTCTGTTCTCCTTTGGGTTTATGTTTCTAGTTGATCTCATCGAGCAGCAAACCATTCTCCTAGATATGGTTGGAAAGGTCCTAGTTCTCATTGTACTCTATAATGTCTACTTGAGTTTGTGTAATTCACAAGGCACTGTTTATAAAATATCCTTTAGGAAAACACACACACAAAGCACAGGGTAATGAAAAACAAGTTATCTTCTTTAGTGCTTACAGATTGTGGAATTTTTCTCTTTCCAAACGATGTGGAGAATGGAAAATTCCCACAAAACTTTTTAACACCACCTGCATGAAAAGGGAGCTCATTATCTATTCCTAAATTGTTCAACACAAGCAGATTTCACATTAAAAATGGGTTTTCTCCATTTAAAATCGAGACAGGAAAATGCAGTAAACATAAATAAGTTCAATATAATTACAAAATACCCCTTTACTGTGCTGAAATCTAACTGCCTTATATAATGACAACAATGAGGATTTGCATACCAATCATGTCTTTCATCCAGAAATGTTGCCATAGTACCCAACCTTCGAATCCTTCCTCATACATAGAAACTGTTTCACATTCCCCGCAGCCCGACAATGAGGAATGGCTTCTCTTATTGGCAACAGAGAGCATGGCAGTGAAGGAACCAGGAGAGGAAAGACAGAAAGCTTTCCTCCCTTGGTCTGCCCTTTCTCCTTAACTGACAAGGGTGTACAGTACTTGCCTTGGTTCTCAGGAACACCTAGAGAGTCCAGAGATGTAGAGAAGGTAAACAATGCTTCCTTTCAACAAATGCACAACAAATGGCCTAAAA